CCACCCCCACCGGCCCAACCCCAAAAAAAGGTGAAAAAGAAAACCTGAATTACACTAGCAGAGTGAACACAAAAATGAAAAATACCCAAGGAAATTTCACAAAAGAAAATGATACATCAAAACAAACCTTGAAGGTTGACCAAGAAGCAGAAATGTTCATTCCATAAGTAGCTACCTATTAGGAAGGAAGAAGCGTGCAGGAAAGAACATAAGCAAATATCTTCCTTACCTGTGCTACTCGATCAACCTCCAGCATTAGCAATCCCTTGTGTGTCTCCGGCACTTTCAGAAAAAGTATCCTCTTGATTTCTTCAAACATACAAAATATGCAAAATGAATATGGGTTACATAATAGGTATCAAAGAAACTCTGGAAAGTTATTAAAGCATGAAAAATACTTCTACGCCATTTTTTTGCAATTGAGGACAACATTTGTAGCTTAAATTCCAGAACCATATCATCTAATAGTAGATAAAAGCCATTACACAAGATGATTTCTAACATCTGCCCTTAGTCAACAAATTTAGTACGACAAACTTGGTCCTCTGCTCCTTTTTCAGATAAACTTTCCTGAGTATAAGGCCTATGAAAGGAAAAACTTTTGTCTCTTGGGTGTCCCTTTTTTTTGATAAAGTGTCTCTTGGGTGTCCCTTTTTTTTGATAAAGTGTCTCTTGGGTGTCCCCTTTTTTTGATAAAGTGTCTCTTGGGTGTCCCTTACTAATCTATCTCTGGGATCAGGACAAAAAGACAACTCTAATGTCGGGAAAAGAAAGGAATCCTTTATAGCCTAAAGAAAGTAGTATATTTCTATAAAGAGATGTAGCACTTATTAGACTCATTTAGAGAGGTGAAAAAAATAGATGTAGCACTGAGTAGACTAATGAAGAAAGGGTGAACAAAAGTGTAGCACTAAATAGTCTGATGAAGAAAGGGCGAAGAACTGGTGAAAATGTGCATGGGAGCTTCAGATTAAAATGACTATGCATATGGGACAGAGAGAGATGAAAGGAAGCTAAAATGTGTGATGAGATAGGTGAGACGCCACACTTGGAGATACCAGGTTCAAGTCAGAAAATCAGCAATTATTTGACATGATTGTGGCAAATCGGGAGTTTTCAATAAGAAAAAGGAAGCTAAAATGTGTGATGAGATAGGTGAGACACCACACTTGAAGATACCAGGTTCAAGTCAGAAAATCAGCAATTATTTGACATGATTGTGGCAAATCGGGAGCTTTCAATAAGAAAAAGGAATCATGCAACTATTAAGACTTGATGGAACTTTTTCAGAATTGCCAACTGACAGAGGTGATCACGTGTAATGCAAAAACACCCAAGGCAGGACGAGTTCGCAGATGAAGAGAGATTAACTCTACGGAAAACCTGAATGGCTGATTTCCTCTGGATACTCATTCAGACACTCAAGTAAAAAAAATGCCAATACATTACATTTTGTATAATAGGCAATGGACCACCTAATTTTCATGAATATCAACTATACACTGACAGAGGTAGAAAGATAACAATGTACATAACCAGCATATGTTCCACTTTAAATTCCAACCTGAATTCAGGTAGCAAATTAAATGAAAGGTAACCTTGGCATGCTATTACCAATGGAGCAATGTCCAAGCACATTGATATATCTTAAAGCAAAGATCAACCATGAATGCAATAGTGGACAAGGAATGAGACAAAAGCAAGAAACAAATAAGAACTCCATTACCAGGAATTATAGTGTATGTGAAACTGATGACTTGGCTTGTCAAAGCCAAGTGCTTAGAAGTAATAGACTTCAAACCTGAAACCTGCAAAATTTTCTCAAATTAAAGACACCAATACTGCATATACAAGATAGAACTGAGAAAATGCTTAAAGAGAAGAAATTGTGAAAAAAACGCTCAGTAGAGATGAAACGCAAATTAGGTCAAAAACTCTAATTCAAGTTACAGGCAAACTATAAAAGCAGAAAGCTTTACACTTCGATAATGATTTCCAGAAGAATACTTCAAAAACCAAAACATCAATATAATACATTTACTGGCATTGTGACCTTAGACAACTTAACAACCACCAGAAACAAGTCCCAGACCAGAAATATGTGCTCACTAAAATAAACCCAAGATCTGTTAAGTGGGATATAACAACAATCAGAGTCAATAGTCAATGTGGTTAAATGACAAAAGAGAATACGTTTCTTCAGTGTAAGAAGAAATCTTTTGAAGGCCATCAAACAGGGACTAGCTGCTGAAGATTGATATGAACTCCTCGAGAACAGGAATAATTTTGAGTCAAGTTACAAAGGACTGAAAGAGCTTTGATGTGGCATCAGAATGAAAAAAGCATGGGCATGACAGATGTGGAGCAAGAGAGTAGAGATCTGTATGTAACACTAAATTGTAGAAGTTGAGAGTAAATTGATGAATTCTAATGATGAAATGAACTCAACACCGATAATGGACTTGCACTACGTCTTTCTGGGTTTCTACGCCATCTCTCCCTCTTTAGAAAGGTCTGAAGAGTCCTTGAGTGTGTCTTGAGGGAAGAGCCTACAAGAAGTGACTCGGATAGTTTTGGAGTGCGTCTTTGAATGGAGAAGAAAGAGCAAATGTCTGTTATTCAATATTTTTTTGATAAGTAAAGATAAACAACAACATACCAAATATTATCCCACACTGTGGGATCTGGGGAGGGTAGTGTGTACGCAGACCTTACCCCTACCCTGTGAGGATAGAGAGGTTGTTTCCAATAGACCCTCGGCTCAAGAAAGTATAAGCACCACATTAATGAAAATATAGACAAGAAGGGACAGCACCAAAAGCCATATAAAAGCAGAATAAAGACAACAAGATAGTAAGGTGATCAACAATGAGAGAAAACAACGGTTAGTCATAAAAACCTACTACTAACAGAAAGCGAGACTGCGTGCCAAAACTACTGTTATGAACACTCTAAACTACCTACTCTACTACCCTAATCCTCGACCTCCATACCTTCCTATCAAGGGTCATGTCCTCGGTCAGCTGAAGTTGCGTCATGTCTTGCCTAATCACCTCTCCTCACCTCTTCTTTGGCCTACCTCTACCTCTCCGTAGGCCCTCCAATGTCAACCTCTCAGACCTTCTCACCGGAGCGTCTGTGCTCCTCCCCCTCATATGACCAAACCACCTAAGTCGCGCTTCCCGCATCTTGTCCTCAGTAGGGGCCACACCCACCTTGTCGCGAATAACCTCATTTCTAATCCTATCTAACCTGGTGTGCCCGCACATCCATCTCAACATCCTCATCTCTGCTACCTTCATCTTCTAGACATGAACTATCTTGACTGGCCAACACTTAGCCCCATACAACATCGTCGGTCTGACCACCACTCTGTAGAACTTACCTTTTAAGTTTCGGTGGCGCCTTCTTGTCACACAACACCAGAAGCGAGTCTCCATTTCATCTATCCTGCCCCAATACGATGTGTGACATCTTCATCAATCTCCCTATCCCCCCGAATAATAGACCCAAGGTACTTAAAATTTCCTCTCCTAGGGATGACCTACGAGTCCAGCCTCGCCTCCTCTTCCCCTCCTTGAGTCTCACCACTGAACTTACACTCCAAGTATTCTGTCTTGGTCCTGCTCAACTTGAAACCTTTAAACTCCAGGGTCTGACTCCGTACCTCTAACTGCGCGTTCACACCGCCTCGCGTCTCGTCAATCAATACAATATCATCTGTAAATAGCATGCACCACGGCACCTCCCCTTGGATGTGGCGCGTAAGTACGTCCATCGCCAGGGCAAACAAAAAAGGGCTGAATGCCGACCCCTGATGCAACCCCATCATAACCGGAAAAATGGTCCGAGTCCCCACCCACTGTCCTCACTCGGGTCTTTGCTCCATCATACATGTCTTTAATCACCCTAACATAGGCAACTGGTACACCTCTAGCCTCCAAACATCTCCACAAAACCTCCCTCGGAACTTTATCGTACGCCTTTTTTAAGTCGATGAACACCATATGCAAGTCCTTCTTCCGGTCCGCCGTCACTGTAGCAGTGAAAAGTGCCAAACAGTACCGTGAACAGTGACTTCGTCACTGTTCATCGCGGACAAAGCTGGAACTTTAGGCTTCAATGGCCACAATGGCCGGCGACCAACCAGCTTTTCCAGCTGGTCTGCCCTCCCCCAGCATTGCACAACAACATACAACAACTAACTCCAACCCAGCTCCTCNTAAAATTTAAGGCGGGTGAAGAAACTCCGATGACGATGGCGTGGATTTCTTTTCCTGGACTGCTGCCTACCTTTTTTGTAAAGGAAACTCTGTTTT